GACATTACCAAGGAATAACAATTATTCTCTATAATCAATTATGATAGACAAGAAGAGAAGCGTAAGTCGAAACACTCTAGAACAGTTCAATTAAAAGACTTCTTACAAGCAAAGGATAGAAACACGGATAAATATAACCTCATAAATGTCAATCTCAATTACACTCCAGTGAATGGTGGCACCTGTAGCATTCAACCTACATGAAGCATATAGCCCAGCGCTAATCATGATTTCAATAACATCATGAGTGATTCACCTTGTTTGAAGCCAGGTTCCGGTATAACGAAACTTTCAGTAAAACAAAGAATTTGCTTGTATTTTATATACCTACTTAATATACTAACAGAACTCGTTATAACGAAATCAAATTTCAGTACATTAAACATTAATCGCCGATGAAGGCAAAATTAATTTCATGAGTGCGCAAAAACAAATATCGACTAAATTTATCTATGCTGCAGATAGATACAGGGCACCTAAATTGGCTAAATTAAGCTATTTTTGGTCTCAGCGTCACTGTCGAACGATGTTCGGGTGATGTCCGAAATTCAACACAATAATCCATTATGAAATGAGTAAATAAAATTAATATTTTTACACAGTTGAAAGTTACAACCTGGCTATCGATATGCAGTAACACCTCATAATCCTCAAAACTTAGAAGAGTCTGTGTTCTGCTGATCCGATAGCCCTGAAACAGTTACAGGGGTTAACGTAAGCCCTTCTCCTCATTACGATGACGGAATTAATGTTAATTCCTGTACATGTATTTTCATCGTGCCTCGTCAATTATTTTCTACACTGTAGTGTTTTCAGTTAGAATTATAGCAGGTACAAAGTGATTTAATCGATTTGCTATTATAGATACGATTAAAAGAAACAAAAACGACGACACTTCACACTAAAAAAAGTTGTCTATTTTGGAAATAATAGATGCTGCGAAGACGGAAAGCGAAAGAATCTCGAAATTATGTCATATAACATTGTCTACAATTTTAAAAGATCGGGAAAAGATAGAAGATAATATTAAAGAGAGAGCAATAAGACCTCACAGAAGTTAGACTTGAAATGCTTTACATGATGACATCGATAAAGCTGTTTTTTCATGGTTACGGTCAAAAATATCCATGTTACCGGTTTAATAATACGCGAAAAGTCATTAGATTTTTGGGAAACTTTTAGGGCATAATAATTTTCAAGCAGGCACTGAATGGTTAACTAGGTTTCGAAGACGCCATCGAATAGCTTGCAGGGTAATCTGTGGAGAAGAGAATGACGTACCACAGGATCGAGTCAACGAATGACATGCTGATGCAATTACAAAGAACGCAGAATACAATATCAATCATTTTTTAATGTCATGAGACTGGGATGTCCTATCAGTTACTTTTACGTGGCACACTCACTGTTAAGGAAGATCGACGCAAGGAAGGGAAGAAATCAAAACAACGTTTAACCGCCTTGTTCTGCTGCAACGCTTGTGGTGCAGGAAAACTGAAACTACTCATCATAGGAACTTACGCAAATTTAGGATGTTTTAAGAATGTTCCATCAATTCCATGCGAATATCATGCAAACAAATGTGCTTGGGTAACATAAACGAATGGCTAAAAAATATGGATACATAGGATAAAAGACTTCTCTTGGAATAAAGAACAATACTTCTCTTAAATGACAACTGCTCGGCAAATAAACTGACGCATATTAGAACAGGTTAAAGTTGAGTTTTTGTCTCCAAATTGTACAGCAGTATTGTAATCTTTGAACTTAGGAATCCTACGTGCAGCCGAAATGCATTGCTTGAGTCAACGTATCAAAAAGCCATCGCTGAAAAAAAGTTTCAGAGGATAATGAAAAATTAGATGTTAAGGAAGCATCTGATCTGGTCGTTGAGGCATGGTGGTTTGTAAAAGACTCAACCATATTAAAGTGTTGGAAGAGAAGCACTAGATTCATGCACACAGTGATTTTGAAGAACAGACAGCTACAAAAGAGAAGATTAAAACGGAAGAGGAACATGAAGTTTGAGAAAAGTTGGATTCTAAACTGGTGCCACGGGAGTTCCGGACACAGATAATTATGAAGATTACATAGATG